TTTTTTTTTTTTTTTTTTTAGCTAATTTTGCTCTGGTAAACTTGATTTTGAATTAGTAGTTTTATTAGGAAATGATAAAACTCTTTTTTTGGTAAGAATTTTAAGAAATATTTACCAATTTCTTGTCTTTCTTTGAGTTTCTTAAAACATGATTCTTTAAAGACAGCTCTTTGGGAAGGAAATAGCTTTTCTGTCTGTGGGTAGAAACCAAAGGAGTGCTGAATGGAGTGAAAAATGGAAGGTTATTAAGGATCTAGTGATTACTGGGCATCCACTAAGTACCAAACATGAGCAGGCGCTTTCTAAAATGATTTCACTAATCTGTGGGTACTAATGGGGGGAGGGCAGGGCAGATCAAATTATTAACAAGTTAGAATTACTAACTCCATTACTTGCATATGTTAATAATTACTATCTGTAGCTGTAATATGATGAAGTAGAAATCTTTAAAATTAGACCATTTACTTGAAGTAGATTTTCAAGCTTATTATTGGCAGTAGTATTGAAAGCCCAGGTGGATGAAGCTGGAGTTTGTTCTCTTGTAGGATAACCCCACGGTAGTAGTGGAAGACCTCAGGCTCTGCACTGTGAAGCATTGTGAAGACATAGAAAGACGATTCTGTTTTGAGGTGGTCTCCCCAACAAAGTAAGAAGCTCTAAAGACTTTGAGAATTGCCTTTCTGTTTCTGTAGTTTGTTTTGAAGAATTTCCAAGAATTGGTAAATTTGTGTTTGATCTATGATTATCTGTGCTACAGAAGAAAAGGTCTTATAACGTTTCTCCATGTATTATATTCTTTAAATTTTATAAAGATTATTTATTTAGTGTGGTACTGAGTACAGAATTTCGGGCTTCAAGCATGCAAGGCAAGCACTTACCATTGACCTGTATCTCTCCTGTAATGATTATTTATGTGTCCCTATGAAAACTTTGTAGCCTTTTTTTTTGTTGTTGTTGTTATTTTTATTTGTTTCTTTGGGTGATAGAGCTTTGAACCTGTGAGCCTCCTGCCCCAAACTTTTGAGTAAGTGGGATATTAAGCCTGTGCTATCAAGCCCAGTCCATAAGAAAAATCCTTAGCTATTATGTTGAACTGAAAGTATATGGCAGATGAAATTCTTTGGTAACTATATTTTCATACTTGTACCCCATTAAAGAAAAAGAAACATTTTGCTTACATAGCACTTAAGAGAGTGTGTGTATAGATATATATGTTTTTCTTTGAGAGAAGATTTTTCTTATATAGTGTCATCTGGCCTAATACTTGCTGTATAGAGCTGGCCTTGAACTCATGATTCTCAGCTTCTGAGTTTTGGGTTTACAGGTATGTGTCACTATTTTTGGCTTATTTATATTTTTTAAATATAAGGATAGGAGATTTGTTCTTAAGAGATAATTTGTTTCATTTGCACCTTGATTTTTTCACAACCATACTTTCTCCTAAAGATATATGAACTATGAAAGCTTAAAATAGAAATAAGTTTTTGCTTTATAAAAATATGGAATAGCATAGTGGAAAAAACAACAATGAAGTATATGGATGTTTTTATTTTCCTACTAATTCAATGCTCAAAAAATGATGTTATTTCCTTTTAGAAGTTGTATGCTCCAGGCCGATTCTGAAAAGCTGCGCCAGGCCTGGATTAAGGCTGTTCAGACCAGTATTGCAACTGCTTATAGAGAGAAGAGTGATGAGTCAGAGGTTAGTAGAGTGTCATCAAAATCAAGGGACATACTGCTAAAAGTTTTTAATTTTAGTTGGAATATATGGTTATAACACCCATTTTTATTGTTTTAATTTATTATTTTTATTTTATGTGTCTGAGTGTATTGCCTGCATGTATATAAATGCACCCATGTTGTGCAATGCCCGTGGAGGTCAGATGACATTAGATTCCCCCGGAACTGGAGTTATGGACAGTTGTTAGGTGCCATGGGGTACTGGGAATTGAACCCATGAGCAGTCAGTACTCTTAATCACTGAGCCACCTCTCCAGCCCCATAGCACATCCTTTTGTATGGAACATGATTTTTATGGAATTGAAATGTTTTAAAAATTTAGGTTCAAGTTCTTTCTTCTTTATTTATTTTTGTTTTTACCTATGATTTTATTGGTTCTCCTCCCCTCTTTCCTTCCTCCGTTATTCCTTTCTTCCCTTCTTCATTTGCTCAGCTCAATCTTTAGTTCCTTGACCAGTAACTTACGGGGAGAAATCCCAAGGCTCCTCACTTTTAAATTTCCTTAGGTGATTTCCATCAGCAGCCACGATTGAAAACTATTGTGTAGGGGGCTTTTCCTGACTCCGGTTATGTGCTACTGATTATAAATGAAGATTACAGGCCTTTCAGAACTTCTGAATGCATAGGATTTTGTTGGATGTAAGATTCTCCTAAATTGGACTATGTGTTGAGCAGCAGCTATAGTCAGGATGATTTTCTTAGTGCCCACTGAGCCCTCACACTGGGGTAAGGAATTGGCAGGGTTTGTGCTGGGAGTCTTAGCATTCAGTGAGTGTGTTCACTGTCACCTACTTCATCTTTCAGCTCACCCCCAGCTAGAGATTCTGTTTTACTCTTCTAGAGAATGTTTCCATTTGTTTTTATTTGTGTGTAGAGTCGGTCCCTTAGTGCCGTGGGGTTGGGGAAAGAACCCTGGGCTCAAACTGCTTCCTAGTCAGTCAGTCACTCGTGTCATGTTTAGTGCTGCAGGTCTTGAGGTGGCTTGTGCAGGGTGTGCTGTGCTAGTGTACTTAGCTTTCAGTCTATTTAATTTGGAACACTAGCGTATAAAGAAAAATTGGGAATGAACCAATTTGGTTTCTGCATTGTAATGCATATATGCTAATTCCCTTTTTAGCTAATTTTTTGTTTTTCTAAAGGATTTTATTTTTTTATATATTTTTTATTTATTATTATTTTATGTGTATGAAAGTATTGCCTGCATGTATGTGAGTGCACCCAAGTTGTGCAGTGCTGCAGAGGTAAGAAGAGGGCTTTGGATTCCCCTGGAACTGTAGTTAAGGACGATTTATAGCCGCCATGTGGGTGCTGGGAACTGAACCCAGGTCCTCTGCAAGAGCAGTCAGTGCTCTTAACTGCTGAGCCATCTCTCCAGCCCCCCTTTTTAGCTAATTTTACATTTCAAATATCTTTTGGTAAACTGGATCTTTTCTTTTTCTTTCTTTTTTTTTTGGATTTTTGAGACAAGTTCTTCAAGACAAAGCCTTGATCGCACCATGTGGACCAGGCTGGTTTTGATCTCACCGAGATCTGCCTGCCTCTGTCTCTTGAGTGCTGGGTCTAAAGGTGTGTGCTACCATGCTTGGCCTAATAAACCAGATCTTAGTTAAAAAAAAAAATCTCAAATTTACATATAATTTCTGAGTATAGTACAGATAACTTCTTCCCCTGAACCCACTTGAGAGTAAATTGCTAACAGGATGCCACCTTACTTTAATAAGCACTTTCCATAACCTAGGCTATTCCTTTGCATAGTGGTGTTCAGACATCAACATTTAGACACAAGCCTTGATACAATACTACCATTTAATTTCCAAAAATTATTCAAGTTTTAAAATTGTTCCAGTAATATTCTTTATAGCAAAGTGATTCATCACAGGATACATTTTATTATTTTTTATTTATAGATTTTCTTTGTGTGTGTATTTTATATAGAACATCCCAAACAATCTTATTCATCTTTATACCCACATCCCAAATGGCACCCTCCCATAGCCCCCACCCCCCCAACTGGAGCCCATATATGCTGTCATCCCTGCTACTGTCCACTGTGTTAGCAGTGTCCCCAAGCCATTACTAGTTGTTATGTTTCTTCTTCAGTCAGGAATAGTCACTTCTTTCATGTTAACTTTACCTTTTTTGACCTTGAAACTTTCAAAAATTGCAGGCTATTATTTAGCTGAATATTCTGATGTTTACTTAGGATTGATATGTAAACCATACTGTGTTCTCATGCATCCTTTCAAGTGACACATAATTTTGATTTGTTCCATTTTTCTAGTGTAAGGTTACTTTTTTTTAACCTTTTGGGTGCTAAGTATTCTGTGAGGGAAATACTTTGAGACTATGTAAACTTTCTGTTCCTTACCCAATTGAATTTTAATCTGTGACAAATTTTAACTCTTTTACTATGGACTTCTGTTGTATTCAGTGTTGCATAATCCATTATTATCATTATTTGTTTTCGTGTTTTAAATGGACTCCAATTTGATCAGTAAGGTCATTGAATTCTTTTGACTAGGCTCCATTGATCTTTAAGTTCTTCTTTACTTTCTGGCATGACAAGATGCTGCTTCGTTTTTTTTTTTTTGTCTTTTAAGTGTAGCCCCTGCTGGTCTGGAACTCACTATGTAGATCAGGCTGGCCATGAACTCACAGACCTGCCTGACTCTGCCTCCCAAGTGCTGAGATTAAAGGTGTATGCCACCATCCCTGGCCTAGATGCTCCCTTCTTATCTTATGCTTTCTCTGCAAGCCATGAAGCTGGCCATTTCTTCAAAGAAACCTGTTTCTTTGGTGGAGAATAATATTTAGAAGCCAAGAAAAGGTTTATAATGTGTGTGCCTGCACATACATTTATATACTTTTTTCCACTGAAAACCACTAGCATGGTTTGGTATCTCCAGGTCTAACTCAAAATATCAGGATTTTCCTTAGTTTTTTACTTTTCCATGTCAACAACCATTTTCTCTGCAGTGAAAAATTTAGCTTCCATTCTCCGTTTATTCTATAGATTTATCCCTCTGTATTTAAGCATTGTATCTGTTGCCACATGTCCTCCCAAACCTTACCTTCCTAACCTTGAGCTGATTGATGCCTTCTTATTCCATGTAAACTGATATGCTGCACCTAATGGCACTCCTGGGATGCCCTCCTCTGCCTCTATCCAGGTTCCTTTCTGGATTGTCACACACAGGCATCCTTCTCCCCCTGGGTGGGATCCATCAGCCAGCACAAGGCTGAGCTCTTTCGCTTAAGCTCTTAAGCTCCTCACTCTTCTCAGCTGTTTCCGGGTTCCATGTCCCCACGTTTGCCTGTCTTGCTTAGCTCTTCCTAATGGCTGTGGAGTTGAGTTTTGAGAAAAAACAACCAAGAATCAAATTATATTGTAATCATTCTGTACTAACACACTGACTTGTTCGGATCAGAAAGTTTTTAAGTAAGAAGACTTTTTTACAGATTGCATCTTTAATTAGAGTTGAGCCACATCTATGAATTTGGTTAATTACTACCATGTGTAGTCAAGTGCTTATTGTTTGGGTGCCTCACCAGAGAAGACCACTCAGACAAGGTTTTGCCGAATGAAAGTCGTTACTGGCCAGGGATACTACACAAGGGTGTCAGGAACCCCGAGCCATCTCTAGGGTAAGCTTTTATACAGAAAAAAACATAACCAGAGTGAAAAGCTGAAGTTCCCAAGCTTACAGGTGGAGAGTCCCCTTAACAATTTCTATTCTATTAAGTAAAAATCACTATTTTACAGAAACAAGCCAAGCATAACCTACAGAAGCCATAAATCTGCATTTAGCAGGTGCACTCTGGGATAGTCTGACCTGTTCCCAAGACCAACGAGGATCCAGCTGACATGTTCCCATACCCTAGGCCAACAGCCTGATAATTTCAGAGACTAGAGTCAGCCTAAACTTTAACATGGCATAGCTATGGTCAAGAAGGTGCCCTATTACATTCCCCACTGGTTCTAAGGGCATGAGTCAAATCTTAGACTCATTTAGGAGATTATATTGTTTTTTAGGATCATGATTTTTATTGTATTTACTTGTCTGACTGTCAGGACCATGAGTAGGAGGACTAGAGGCCTAGCTAAGGCCGTGAGCAGGGTAGTGAGCCATGGAGAACAAGAAAATAAAGACTGGTATTAGTTGTCAGACTAGTGTTAAGTTTTTGATAATTTTAGACTGATTTATATAGAAGCAATAGGTCTTTTCTAAAGTCATATAAAGGCCTAACTGAGAGGCAATGTGGACCAGTATGCAGAGGCACCCTCCTCCTGGATCTTCAAACTTGTTAGAGGATGTACATTTAGGCCTGTTTTAGGGTTTTGGCTTGGGGTAACTGGGACTATTCTCCAATAGTCATAATTTCAAGAACTTTCCTAGCCTTAGTTTTTCTGAGCAATTCCCCTGGGAGGAAAAGAAGTCAAAATACAGTTGTAACAATCAGGGAATTCCTGTCAGTCTTATTTTTAAAGGGTTAAAAGTTCGAATGACAGTCTGTTTTCCAGGTTTTTTTTTTTTTTTCCCCCTGTCAGTCTTATTTTTAAAGGGTTAAAAGTTCGAATGATAGTCCCTTTTCCAGTTTTTTTTTTTTTTTTTTTTTTTTTTCCTGAGTATGATGGATCCACAAGGAGATCCTGACTACTGTTGTATGTGTAGTAAGGATTACAGGATACAGGCCCTTCCAGGATGGTTTCAAAGTCTGAGTTGGGACTTTCCTGATCCATGTCAAGTCACTGGGCTGGAACTTGTGGACTGGTTCTGAGGCAGACTGGAGACCAGATTCTCAGATCATCTGATAGATGGCCCTCTGGGCCTGTTGCAGAGCCTGTAATGACTTGAGAAGGGAGTGATTAGTAATCCTTCCTGGTATGGAGTACACCTAGCTCTGAGTAGGGCTAAAGGAAGGAGGTTGGCCCAACCTTCGCCTATTATTATAATCAATTTG